GGTGGGTGAGTGCTAGGCCTGGGTCACCCGACCCACAGACCCAGGACAACCCATGAGGACCCCCTCCGCCCCCCAACCCCCCCAATCCCTGCACAAAATGTCCACCCGCCTAAAAAAGTCGAAGGTGCACGCACGAAATGTCAAGTCCCGCCGTCGGCCAACCTGGAAAAAAAAAGGTCGAGGTCCTCCTGAAAAAAAAAAACCAGGAACCTTCTTTCAAATTTTTCGCACGCTGCTCTTGCCTCTTGGCGGCTGCACCACGGCCCACGTTTGGATGAGTTACCACTTTCAAACGGGATGCTGAGTTTCGCTCCCATTAAAACAACAGGGGGCGAACCTAAGCACAACAAGTGGCAAGGTTCGCTCCCCACTTTTGAACTTTTGGAGCGCTTTGAATTTTGGCGCCGTCATCCAGCGATGGCACAACTTGTGCATGGTTCAGCAGCAGGGAGGAGGTGGGGGGGCGGTGAGGAGGGGGGCAACACACCGACGGCCTGGGGAGCAACAGCGAGGCCGCGAGCCACCCATCGACGGCCTGGGGAGCCACGTACTGACGACTTGGGGAGCAACAGCGCTGCTACGAATGAGCAGCAATCGAGAGAGAGAGAGAGAGAGAGAGAGAGAGAGAGAGAGAGAGAGAGAGAGAGGCAGACTCCACTTTTTTGCATCTCTCCACAAACACGCTCCGATTCAGGCGTGAAATCGGATGCTAGAGAGAGAGAGAGAGCGAGAGCGAGAGAGAGAGAGAGAGAGAGAGAGAGAGAGAGAGAGAGAGAGAGAGAGGCAAGGTCGTGACGTGGGTGATTCCTGTGAGAGAGACAGAGAGAGAGAGACGTGGGCGATTCCTGTGAGAGAGACAGAGCTCTCTCTCTCTCTCTCTCCCCCTCTCTCTCTCTCTCTCTCTCAGAGCGTGTTTGATTTTGTCATGTCACGTCATAATGTCCTATTCTCTGTAAATGTTCGAAGGGATAGACAATAGCGGGCATGGTCGGCTGCGGGTGAAAAGATACTACATCCCAGGTGCGGCCGGACAATGATTTTCTTGTGGGTGCAGGTGGGTTTGGGTGACCCTTTTTTACGGGTGGCGTGTGGGTTGGGCGTACGCGGAAAAATTCAAAAAAATGCTTGGGTGAGTTGGATCAGCTTCAAACCTTTTTTTTATTTTTTTTTAAAGGATTGCATGTACTAATTTTTTTTTTGGTGGGTTGGGTGAAGTGGCATTTCCAAAAAAAAATGCTTATCTCTGGGGCTGAGCGAATGGCTCGACGCGTTGGTAGTCACGAAGGGGTAGAAGGGGGAACGGTGGTCTGCGGAGGTGCAGACGGTACTGCGACAGAGGGCTGAGTACACTCTGTCAGGTCCTGCGATAACTCAACGCCATTAGCAAGAGGGGCAAACCACGACGGGGATGTCGGGAAGCCGACTATTGAGGAGGGCGCAGGTGTACCATGCACCGTGGCTAGGAGGCGCCGCGGGGATGCGAGGCACCGGGGGGAGACTGAGCACGACGCTGGCAGGAAAGGTCAGCGTAGTGGCGGTCGAGGGCGGTGGTGTACGGACACCGCGAGGAGGTATGACCGTCCTGGCGGCATCGCAAACACCCACGCCGACCCAAAATGGCCGCGCGCTCCTCAGCGGAAAGGACACCGCGAGGAGGGACAAAGCCCTGAGGGAGGTCCTACTGAGGGACCTCGGGGGGCGATGCGCCAGTGTGACCGGGGCGGCAGCGTTCCCGAGAGAGGGCGGAGAGGATGAGCTAAGGGCGCTCGGCCATAGGAAGACTAGAGTCCTCTAGGTGGTAGTGGACGGCCTCGCTAAGGTCGAGGTCGTCGCTATGGTCACCCTCGGGCGACAACGGGACAACAACGTCCTGCTCACCATACTCGAGCGTGCTGAAGCGGCGCGAGAAGTGTTGCGCGGAACAGCGGGGGCGACCGAGGAAAGGGGAACGACGCTGGGAAGTGTCGTGAGAGGAGGAGGGGGCGTAACCAGCACGCTGAGGCTGGGAGGAGGAAGTGGGTTGAAGACGGGCCCGCATCTGTTGATGGTCCCTGGCGGCCTTGTAGGCTTGCGGGGCCGATGTGAAATCGTACCGCCATAACTCAGAGCGGTACTCGAGCGGAAGGCTGGGCAAGAAACGATCGATAAGGGCAGCCTCGGGGAGGAACGCCACGTCACAAATCAGGCGGGCGTCCTGAAAGACCTGGATGTGGCGACCCAGGTCGGCAGCGCCGCCAGAGGCGGACCAGCGTGTAGTGACGAGACGCTCAAAGGCGTCAGTCACGTCATGTCGGGCTCCGAAGCGATCCTCGAGGAACGCCTGGAAATCCATGAAGGTCGGAGTTCGACCCGCATGAAGGGAGTAAGCGTAGAAATCCTCCCAAGCGTCGAAAGGACCGCCACGCAGGCGCGTGGAGAGGTGACCCACCCACGTGTCGGGTGGGGCGCCCATGAGCTGGAGGGTACGGGTGGCAAACTGTAGCCACCAAGACACGCGTATGCCTGTACCGTCATACAAGGCAATGTCCGTCAAGCGGACGAGTGGTGCGCCACCGTTTTGGCGGCGAGGGGATCGAGGAGCAGAGGCCTGTGCCACGGCTGAGTAAGTCGGCGCAGGTCTTGGAGAAAGGGGCGCAGCTGACTGTACGCCTGGGCCGCATGGGGGAGCGACGGGGGCAACAGTGGCAGGCTGCGAGGGAGCTGTGGTAGAAGAGGTCGCAGCAACCGAGGGAATAGGAAGAAGGTAGGATGGGGCTGGACAGGGTGCAGGGCGAGGAAAGCGAGCCTGCATGGAAGGAAGAGTAGAGGAAGGAGGGGGTGCGCCCGAAGGCGCGGCCACCTGTAAGGGTGGGGGTGGTTGAAGGCGTAAGAGGGCGAGGTCGGCCCGGGTCTGGGCAAGCTCGTCCTCGAGACGTTGGACGTAGATCGAGCGAGGAGTGGCAAGAGGAAGAGTGGGGGGAGTGGACGCACGAGCAGCGTGGGGCATCCCATAGGGGGAGAGTCAGGTGGCGCTGTGGTCGTGCGAAGGGGAGGGAGAAGCGGGGCACCCGGAAAAACTGAGACCATAGTAGCGGGTTGTGGTCCCGTGGCCGTAGTGATCAAAATCTGGGTGGGTGCGCCCGTAGACTGAGGGAGGGCCTGGCCCGGGGCGGCCGTCGTGCTAGGAGCGTGGACGGTCACCAGGATGGTAGGGTCCGGGGCGGCAGAGGAGGAAGCTCCGCCGTGGCCACCATGTCGGAGGACGGGGGACCCGGACAAGGAGCCAGGACGAGAAAGAGAGTGGGGAGAGGAAGGACGACCAGCGTCTTGGAGTTGCCGCAGGCCAGCGGCAAGAGTTGCCAGAGATGAGCACCGGGTACCCAGACCCGCACCCACCTGCACCCACCCCACCCACGAGGACATTGGGTCAGGTGCGGGTCTTGATAAGGTGACCTGGGTGGGATGAGGGCGGGTCAAGGCCAGGTAGCCTGGGTGGGTGACAGGTGGGTCAACATTAGGCCTGGGTCACCCGAGTGGGTGGGTGACGGGTGGGTGAGTGCTAGGCCTGGGTCACCCGACCCACAGACCCAGGACAACCCATGAGGACCCCCACCCCCCCCCAATCCCTGCACGAAATGTCCACCCGTCTAAAAAAGTCGAAGGTACACGTAAGAAGCGTGAAGTCCCGCCGCCGGCCTGCCTAAAAAAAAAAAAAAGTCGAGGTCCTCCTGAAAAAAAAAAGCAGGAGCCTTCTTTCAAATTTTTCACACGCTGCTCTTGCCTCTTGGCGGCTGCACCACAGCCCATGTTTGGATGAGTTACCGCTTTCAAACAGGATGTCGAGTTTCGATCCATTAAAACAACAAGGGGCGAGAGTCGGAGTCGCCATTTGCGCCTGTAAGGGCGCAAGGAGGGAGGTGATGAGGGTGTGCAGGTCCCCCTGGGGCTGGTCACCCTGGTCCATCGGCACGGGTGTGGAGCCCGATGCCGAGGTCGTCGCCGCCTCGGCGGCTTGTGACACGCCGTCGGCCATGGGGAGGTAACGGGCCGGGCTAGGGAGGGTCGGAGGAGGTCCGCGTGAGCGGAGGGTGTAGGGGGAGGCCTGCGATAGAAAGCGACGGGCGGCGCTAGTAAATCAAGCGCGGGCGTCGTCAAAGGGGGAGGGGTGGTTCGGATCCAGGGCGGCCGAATGAGAAGGGAAAGTAGGAGGGGGGGGTTGGAAAACCCTAAACCCTAGAAAAACCCTAAGAAAACCCTAACCGAAGTTTGAGTGGTTAGGGTAGGGTACCGGTGACCTAATCAAGAAAATAAAATAGCAAGCATAGGGGGGCAAGGCGGGAGAAAAATAAATAAACAACGAGATTTCGAAAAAAAAATAAAAATAAACAAGAAAATAAATAAATAATAAAAATAAACAAGAAAATAAATAAATAATAAAAATAAACAAGAAAATAAATAAATAATAAAAATAATTTAAAAAATATGGAAATAAAATATGAAGAGAGAAATAATATTTATTTTTTTAGAATTTTCGGCAGCATTTCCCTACCCCCCATGGGGTCAAGAATGTGCCAAGGGGGAAGGAGACACCAAGATAAGCACACTAGGTTTCAAAATGCCGCGAATAAAAAAGTTCAAAAAATAAATAAAGAAATAATAAATAAAGAAATAAAGAAATAAAGAAATAACTTAAAATACGTGAATAAGTGGATGAGGAGGTGGAGAGAAATGAAGTATCTGATTTTTCAAAAATTTCGGCAACATTTCGTTACCCCCATGGGGTCGAAGTGTGCTGAGAAAGACTAAGTGAAGGAAAGACAAGAAATTTTGGCAGCACTTCGTTACCCCTACGGGGTCAAAATATGTGCCGAAAGCAAGAAAGACCAACTCCTAGTCAGATTTAAGGGTGCCGCAAAGAAATTCGAATTTTCAGAATAAATAAAATAAAAAATAAACGCGAGGATCAGTGTCCTCGGTAGGCCCATGGGGCCCTCTTTCCAGCCTTACCCGCCCTAAGTAAAGGCGGAGGTGCCCGCCCTAAGTGAAGGCGGGCCTAGCTTTTTGCAAAAGGCCCTCGACTGTCAATTTCATATTTGGGGTCCAGGCAGTTGCGACGCGCCAGTTGGTTGAAAGAAACATAGGCCGAGCAACAAAGACATTTCCACGGCTTACCGGGCCTTTCCAAAGAATGCAGGCCCTGGGCGTGATTCGCAGCCTCATACAGAGACAGTTGGGTGCCCAACCGAACGAGGCCCAACAGCCCACTAGCTGCTGCATCCAGGCAACCTCCTGGGGCCTTCCGGAAACTTCTGGGCCCAGGCCAGGGCATGGCACCCAGGCTTCGTGAGAGACCAACTCTTTCCATAAAGGAAAGAGCTCGTCCCTGGCTGCCTCATTCACGCACTTGCATGCTGGGCGGCAGCGCTGCTGGAGCTCATGCTCGTAGGCTGCTGCCAACGCTGAGAGGCGAGGTGCAGCACGTGCGGTCGTGCAGAAGAGGAGGGCGCTGCTGAGGGCAGCGCCATAGCCCAGCCACCATAGCTGGTGGGCTTGGACTACAGTGAAGCGCAGGGGTGGTCTTCGGGTCAAAGAGAGGATAGGTGTGGTGTAGTCAGGGGATAGTTGAAGCATGATGATGAGGATGATGATGTGAGGGCACGTACCTTGTATTGGCGATGGTCTGCATGGGTGACATCTTCAAGTACTTCGGGCTGCCGCTGATGTCAACAGTTGCATTGTCTTTTTGTAGTCTGTAGTAACTGTGTAGGAGTAGGCTGGGCGCTGAGCGCCAAGTGTGAGTGTGAAGGAACTGGACTCTTGTGTTGGGAGGAGAGAGTGTGCTCTCCATAAACATTGGTTTTCAGTGCTACGAACCTCCATTGGTGTATTATTGGTGCATTGCTGCTCTCTGGACACAATGTGACTATTTGGCTTTCAATGTGATGGTGTGATCTGGATTTGTCATCTCGATGTTACTTATTTTCCTTGCAATTTGGTATCGAAGCTGGTTCATATTGCGCTTCATTGGTTCTTCGCAATAGCTATTGGTGCTTCGCATGAGGTGTGGGGCAGTGATAAGGCATTGGCGTTGAACATTAGGCGGCCCAGAGTTGTGTGGGCGCGCCAGGGAGCTATGTGGTGACATACGGGGTGTATGTTGGATGATGAGAACTCGCTGATGTGGCATACTAAGCCGAAGTGGAACCGCATTCTGCTGTTGGTTGTGCTGAGGCAAAGACCGGTCATCATAATTGCACATCAGGTTACCGGTGAGAAATCTGTGGTTGGGGGCAGCATTAATGAGGCACGTTGCTCTCTTCCTTATCTACCCTCTTCATCTCTTTTTACCGTGAGGAAGTGAGTTTTGTCTTTAGGGTCCTCTCAGTGTGAGGTGTTGCGAGCGCTCAACCTTGAGAGTCGACATTCTTCCTAGGCAGCAAGCTGGTGGGAGACGGGCGAAGCCTCTGAAGGGCCCTGGACGAAACACTCGGGTCACGGTCACCATGCCAACCCGCTGGGACTAATACACGCATGCTTGGGCTGCAAGTCCTTGGTTCTGCTGCTTGCGCAATAGAGGTCGTGCCGGGCATGCCAGCCTTTTATGAGACGCTTACCAGACCGTCTATAAATATTTCTGGTTGGGGACTCGGATTGAATCTGGCTGTGATCGTCGTCCTGACTGCGATGTTCCTGATCAGCCAGATCAACCGGGTGTAAGGCTCGTTCCATACGAGGGTAAATAAGAGTGGACTGGCTGGCTTGTTCAGCAATTACATGGGGCACAGAGGTGGGCCGGATTGCACACCTTCAGACACGCTGCTCAACCAGATGCTCAGGAACGTTGACACAAAGTGACCAATCAAGAAGGATACAGGGGGAGGGGGGATTCCGGTAACTGTTCATAGTGGCAATTAACTATCAATCTGCCATCCAGTATACATCTCTAACAGGAGATGTTATTTTTATTTTGATTATCTAGTTGTGACAAACTTCGCTAACAACTGACAGACAACTACAGAAAGATTAGATCTTTGCTGTAGTACAATCTGTTCTAGGGTAATCTAAAAATAGAATTAATATATCATGTAGGACTTGACATTAGTTGTTAATTAATCACTTAACTGTTTCTGTTCCATCCGACCGAAACTAGTTGTGTTTCATAATCGGTTGTGTGCCAGGCTAAGGTAGGATTCAGTGTGGATTCTAGTTTAGATCACACACACTGTAGCTCATGAGTGATGCAAGCACTAGTGAGGAGGAGTTGCTAGTGGACGACCGTAGGACTACTCGGGGGACTGCTCGTAGTCGACCCTTGACATTCTTGGAGTTAGGTCCACGAGACGAGAGAAGATTGAGGAGAGAGGCTAGAGAAAGAACAGCGGCAAGGAGAGCGAGGGCAGCTGAGGATAGTGCCAAGACTAGTGTCTCAGCTAGTACAGGTGCAACCATGGCAACCTCAGCTATGTCGCAAGTCTCTACACTTCTTCAGGAGTCAGTCAGAGTGGCTCTCAGGTTCCCATTAGTCAGATTGTTGCCGTGTGAGTCAGCCAGCAAACTCAACTCACGACGGAGGACTTAGAAATCCGCCAAGCAAAAGAATTTCAGGATGAGCTACAGCGGCAGTTGGACGAGGCAGCGGAGAGGAAAATAAAAGTCATACTTAGGAAGGCTAGACTAGAGAGTAGAATGCGAGAACTAGGCAGATTGGAAACACTAGATGAGGCAGCATTAGACCCTGCTGGTCGTGTGCTGCGCAATGCCTTACTTTCAGTGGCAGAAGCGCAGAACGTCCAACAGGAATTGTTGGCTGATTTGGTGGTAGGTCATAAACAAATTCTGGCTGAACTTCGGGCTCCTCGCACAATGGTGAGGCAACCACAATTTGTTGTAGTTCCCCCTGTATGTGCGGGTCCATCATCGATGCCGCAACGCACAGGGCAAACTTTCTCTCCTATGTTTGGCATGCCCCCTCCAGGTGGTTTGGTAGCAACTAGTGGTCCGGTTCCAAGAGTCTCAGCCGTACCATCCACGACAGTGGTAACTACAGTCCCATTGTCAAGCCAGGCCCAGGTTAGTGTGCAACAGCCTGTTTAAGTGGTTATGCAGCCGTTGCGGCAAGCCCCTGGGCCCATGCAACCTATGCAATGGATGCCTAAGATACCTCTGATGAGTCCCAAACCCTTCTCTGGAGATAGAAAGAAGGAGGAGGACTTGGACACCTGGGTGAGGACTGTGCCTACTTATGTAAGGCACAAGCTCACAAGGCCAGAACAGGAAGTTGTAGTGGCTGCATCCTTTTTAGAGGGATCAGCAGCCCGCTGGTTGAATGGCTTAGTGCAGCAACAGGGCTATGGTCAGGATTTCGATGTCTGGGCTCAGGCTCCGACATTGGAACAGTTCGTACGGTCAGTCTACAACAGGTGGCATGACCCGCAAGGGGCTCAAAAGGCCACCGATGCTATCAACAACCTTTGTTCCCGCAGGTTCAAGAATGTTAGAGAGCTTACGAACACCGTAGAATGCCTCCTCGTGGTACCTGGTGTGCGTTTTGACCAGCAGGTTCTCCTAACGGATTACCTAAGGTGCCTACCTGCAGAGGTAAGGACCAAGCTGGTTGACAAGGCCTATGTCGAACAGCACACTTTCGCTTCTTTTAGTAAGAAAGCTCTGGACATAGAGGCAAAGCTGGGATCTGCGCATAAGGTATCCCATGATGGTAGGAAGAGACTGCCCCAAGACTGGAAGAAGAAGGGTCAATTAATGTTCGTTGACCATGATGGTCAAACGACGGAGATTGACGATTTCCCAGACCTTGGGGAGTTGACAGAGCAGGATGGGGCCAGCGAGACTTCGGATGGGGGAGTCGTGGCACCCATCAAGGAAAAGGCTAGGGGGACCGGGAAGAAGAAGGTAGGACGGTCCACGGGTCAGAGCGACCAAGGGACACCCGCATGGGTAAAGCTTGGTTTAGATTACGAGGTGTGGGGTGACCGCGTTGCTAGGGGTACATGCATGAACTGTGGCAACTATGGCCACACGTCCAGGACTTGCTGCGGCAAGAAGGTCACAACGAAGGTAGTCTCACCAACGGTGGTGGGCTTATCTTCGAACCCTGGGAGTGCTTCTGCGAGCAGCTCACAGGGAAACACTTCGAGCCAGTAGGAGTGTTTGCCGCTCTTACTCGTGTTGAAGTGGTAACATTGCATTCCCCACTTCAGGCGTTGGCCAAGGCTAGTGACCCACGCATCGCCCCGCAGACACATTCAGACCCACCGACGCTCCGTTCGAGAGATGTGGTTGAGGCCCTAGAAGAGTTAGAGACTGAGTGGTCAGGGAAGGACCCCAGGGACTCTTGGGCGATGATCAGTAGAGGTCCAAAGGGGGAACATTTCGTGGTAGAAGTAGATGTAGGTGGCCGCAAGGTTGGCGCCTTCGCAGACATAGGCTCTACACGAAATTTCATCAATCGTGCTTGTGTGGATAGACTGCGCTTAGGGGACCAAGTGCAGCGGCTTAGCAAAAATGTAGCTTCTACGCTAGCCAACAAGCACCAAATGTTGGTGAAAGACTATGTCAAGGACATAGTCTGCACCTTCTCCTATGGAGGAGGGGAAGTGAGTCATAAAATTTCCTTCCTGGTTAGCGATGAACTGCCATTTGACATGCTCCTAGGTATGTACTACCTCGAGGTCGCGCAACTGCAGTTTGATTGGGATAGAAAGGTTTTGATTTACAAGTTGCCCAACGGTAGATCTGTTAGATTGCAAAAGTTCAAAGCTAGCAGTCTACTAGAAAACTACGGGTGCATGCGTGCATCATCCTTCTATAACTATTATAAGCAGAATCGCGAGGAAGGCATATATCTAGTTTTTGTCTCTGAGAAAAAGGAGGCCATTAAATCACCCCCAGAGATAGAAAAAATCGTCGCTCAATATTCAGACCTTTTTTAGGAGCCCACATGCGTGGTAGAAAGGGAGGTTGTCCATGCGATAGAGGTTGTCCCAGGTAGCAAGGTACCTAGAGGACGAATCTATAGGATGTCTCCTACGGAGTGAGATGAGCTTCGCCGCCAGCTCAAGGAGCTCACAGAGAAGGGATGGATACGGCCTAGTACCTCCCCTTACGGTGCACCAGTCTTATTTGTCCCAAAGAAGGGAGGTCCATTAAGGATGTGCATTGACGATAGGGGCCTCAATGCCATCACCGTTAAGAACGTGGAGCCCCTACCCCGCATTGACGACCTCTTGGATAGAGTGCAGGGATGCCGGTACTTCACAAAGATAGACTTGAAGTCCGGATTCCATCAAATTGTCGTTAGACCTGAGGATCAGCACAAAACCGCATTTCATACCAGGTACGGTCTGTACGAGTTTGTGGTGATACCTTTTGGCCTATGCAATGCGCCTGGTACGTTCCAGCACGCGATGAATAGGATTTTTCATGACTACTTGGACAAGTTTATCGTCGAGTACCTCGACGATATTCTCATCTTTAGTAGGACTGTAGAGGAGCACGCTGAGCACTTGAAAACAGTGCTAGGTCTCCTAAGACAGCACCAGTACAAGGCTAACTTGGATAAATGCGAGTTTGGTCGCACCAAGATCTTGTACTTGGGTCATGAAATCTCAGCAGATGGATTGAGGCCGAAAGATGCGAAGGTGGCCAGCATACGTGACTGGCCTAGACCTCAGACTGTTACTGAGGTCAGATCGTTTTTGGGGATGACGGGCTATTATCGTCCGTTTGTGAAGACCTATAGTACTATAGCTTCTCCATTAACAGATCTAACTCGACTTGACACCCCTTGGGAGTGGACTGAAGAGTGTGAGGCAAGCTTCAAGAAATTGAAGTATGCACTGACACACTATGAAGTTCTCAAACTTCCTGATCTTGACAAGCCGTTTGTTGTGACCACAGACGCCAACCAATATGGCATAGGCGCGGTTCTTGCGCAACAGGAAGGGCCCAAGTTGAGACCGATCGAGTACATGAGTAAAAAGATGCCTTCTCAAAAGTTAGCTAAGTCTTACGCCCTGTACCGAGCGCTAGTTCATTGGAGACGCTACCTCCTAGGAAGATTCTTCTATGTGAGGTCTGACCATGAAACTTTGTGCTGGATTAAGACACAGCCTGTGTTGTCAGACGCACTCAAGAGATGGACTCAAGTGATAGACATGTATGACTATCAAGTTGATCCTATCAAGGGTACGTACAACAAGGTGGCTGATGCGCTATCAAGAAGGGCAGATTATTTGGGGGCACTAGTAACAGAGTTTGGCATATCTAGCGATTTGACTCGATCATTGGTGGATGCCTATCAGGGAGACCCAGTCATGTCAGAAATCATCCGTAGATTCCAAGCAAAGGACAAGAAGACTTTGGATGAGTTTACGATGGTAGATGGCTTGCTGTTCCTTGAGAAGGAAGGGAATAAAAGGTTGTGTGTTCCTGATAGTGAGTCTTTACGTAGTTTGTTTTTAGGCGAATGTCATGATGCGACTGGTCATTTTGGTTACAAAAAGACATCGGCGAACTTAGTACAAAGATTATGGTGGCCTTCTATGATGATAGATGCAAAACGCTATGTTGAAACTTGCTAGGTTTGCCAAAGAGACAAACCAAGGACTCAGGCTCCGCTTGGGCTGATCAAGCCCTTGCCGATTCCTGAAGGACCAGGTCAGAGTGTGTCTATGGATTTCATGGACACCCTTGTGACCAGGAAGTCTGGAAAGAGGCATATCTTTGTTATAGTGGACCGTTTTACTAAGTACGCAAGACTGATTGCCATGCTAGAAACAACTAAAATTGACTACGTCATAAAACTGTTTATGGATAATTGGGTACCGGATTTTGGTTTGCCTACATCCATCGTTAACGATAGGGATGTGAGATTCACAAGTGAACTGTGGCAGTCAACTGTTGAACAGATGGGCACCAAACTCCAAATGACTTCAGGGAATCACCCTGAGTCAAATGGCCAAGCAGAACAGATGAACCGGGTAGTACAGCATCTGCTTCGGCATTACATTAAGCCAAGTCAGGATGACTGGGACGAAAAGTTACCTCTCATCGCCAGGTTGTACAACAATGTTGTGCACAGTACAACCGGTATGACTCCCAACCAGTTACATCTTGGTTGGAAACCCAGAAGTGCATTGGACTTTCTGCTACCAGAAAGGCACTCCGCTGCAGCACCTGGCAGCATAGAGTTTGCTGTCAAATATGAACAGATGTTGCAGCAGGCCGTTGAACATATTAGGAAGTCTCAAGATGCTATGATTACATCTGAGAATAAGCATAGACGACCCTCTAACTTTCAGGTAGGTGAACGAGTCTGGGTAAAGTCATCTGAATTAGGTCAGGAGTTGGGGATATCCATAAAAGTGATGCCGCAGTATTTCGGGCCCTGGGAGATCTTGGACATTATAGGGGATCAATCGGATGGGCCTTCATACGTGATCCGTATTCCTGCACACCTACGCACCTACCCAGTGTTTCATGCCTCCAAGCTGGCACCTTTCGCTGCAACTGAGCACTTTCCTTCCAGAAGATCAATGTTGCCCCCAACCATGGATGGCAAAGTGGACATTGACCAGATCATCGAGCATCGAGTGATGTCTGTTCCTCGACCATCAGGCAGAGGGTGAACTCCTAAACGGAGAATGCAATATCGTGTGAGCTTCAGACATCATCTGGATCCTAAAGAAGACCGGTGGTTCACACGAGAAGAACTCATGAGAACAGTACCTCAAGAAATCGCAGGCTATGAAAGAACACTCAAGGGGAAGATGCCTACAGAATGAGAGACTTCTTAGAGGACTCACGAAGTAAAGGAGGAGGGAATGCGAGGATCAGTGTCCTTGGTAGGCCTATGGGGCCCTCTTTCCAGCCTTACCCGCCCTAAGTGAAGGCGAAGGTGCCCGCCCTAAGTGAAGGCGGGCCTGGCTTTTTGCAAAAGGCCCTCGAGTGTCAATTTCATATTTGGGGTCCAGGTAGTTGCGACGCGCCAGTTGGTTGAAAGAAACACAGGCCGAGCAACAAAGACATTTCCACGGCCTACCGGGCCTTTCCAAAGAATGCAGGCCCTGGGCGTGATTCGCAGCCTCATACAGAGACAGTTGGGCGCCCAACCGAACGAGGCCCAGCAGCCCAGTAGCAGCTGCATCCAGGCAGCCTCCTGGGGCCTTCCGGAAACTTCTGGGCCCAGGTCAGGGCAGCCAGGCTTCGTGAGAGGCCAACTCTTTCCATAAAGGAAAGAGCTCGGCCCTGGCTGCCTCATTCACGTACTCGCATGCTGGGCGGCAGCGCTGCTGGAGCTCATGCTCGTAGGCTGCTGCCAACGCTGAGAGGCGAGGTGCAGCACGTGCGGTCGTGCAGAGGAGGAGGGCGCTGCTGAGGGCAACGCCATAGCCCAACCACCATAGCTGGTGGGCTTGGACTACAGTGAAGCGCAGGGGTGGTCTTCGGGTCAAAGAGAGGATAGGTGTGGTGTAGTCAGGGGATAGGTGAAGGATAATGATGACGATGATGATGTGAGGGCACGTACCTTGTATTGTCGATGGTCTGCATGGGTGACATCTTCAAGTACTTCGGGCTGCCGCTGATGTCAACAGTTGCATTGTCTTTTTGTAGTCTGTAGTAGCTGTGTAGGAGTAGGCTGGGCGCTGAGCGCCAAGTGTGAGTGTGAAGGAACTGGGACTCTTGTGTTAGGAGGAGAGAGTGTGCTCTCCATAAACATTGGTTTTCAGTGCTACGAACCTCCATTGGTGTATTATTGGTGCATTGCTGCTCTCTGGACACAATGTGACTATTTGGCTTTCAATGTGATGGTGTGATCTGAATTTGTCATCTCGCTGTTACTTATTTTCCTTGCAATAAAATAAATCAGAAAGTGAGAAGGGAGGGGGGAAAATAAGATAATTGAAATTTTTGGAGAAAAGAGAAGATTAAAATCAAAGAGAAAAAGGGAAAAGAAGAAAAAACAGAAAAATTCGAAGTAGGGGGGGGGAAGGGGATGAAAGAGTGATGAAGAAAAGAGAAATAGGTGAGAGAGAGAGTAGTAGTGAAGTGGAAGATGGGGAAGATGAGATTAGTAGAAGATGGTGAGTGGGGAGGAGAGGAGAGAAAAAGGTGGTGGGAGATGAGTGAAGAGGGAGGTGGGAGGAGGGGGGGTA